ACCGGGCCAGGCACAAGGCGCAGCCGGCGCACGAGGCTGTGGAGAAGGAGGCCACGGAGAAGGAGGCCACGGAGAAGGAGGCCGAGATAGTGGAAGCCGACAAGGAGAAGGAGCTCCGGAACCACCAGCCCAGGTGAGTCCGCGGCTGGGCGGGTTCGGTGAGGGAGGGGTTGACCTGGGCGGTGCGAGCCCCAGTGCTGGCTGCTGGAATGGGGTCCACGGCGGAGGCTGCACCCCCGGCCACGCTGCCCTGTCCAGGGCCGTCCCGGCTGGGGTCTCCGCATGCCGTTCACGGTGGGGGGTGGTGACAATCCTGCATTGGAGGATCGACCTGTAAAAGACTTGGCAGGGCAAGTGTGGTGCGTGAATGCCAGCCGTTATTTAAGAAGGGGGGGCTTAAGTGGGAATTGTTACGATTGGTTTGGAAAGAACAAAGTGGCCCTGGGAGAAGAGAAAGTTGGGGATTGCTGTGGAGGAAGGAGAGGCAGGAGGGCCCGAGGGAAGCCTGAGCAGGCCAGTGGGCTGGGCGCAGAGTGGGGTGTGGGGGCCAGGCTGTGTGACCATGACAGGAAGAACCCCAGCTAGCCCAACTTGCTCCCTGGGGCAGGACTCACCGACGCTGTGAGGGCCTGGGGTAACTGGTCCAGTGACCAAGACCAGCAGTTGCCAGGTACCTACTGGCCACAAACCAACCAGAATACTTGCTGCTGGAGACCCCAGCCCGGGGTAACCCAGCCGCCGCCCTGCCTGTGTGTGTCGCTGGGTCTGCCCCACCCTGCCTTTCAGACTAAAGACACAGAGGTGTAGAGGTTAATTTAAAAAACATACAGAATGCCAGAGTAGCAGAGCAGGTGGTCATAGATTTAGTGGGTCTGCATGGGGGTTTAAGGGTTTTGGTTGATAGGATTTTGCTGATGTGCATTATTATTATTATTATTATTATTGGAGACAGGGCCGCACTGTCGCCCAGGGTAGAGTGCAGTGGCGCAGTCATGGCTCACTGCAGCCTCAACTTCCCAGGCTGAAGTGGTCCTCCCACCTCAGCCTTCCCAGCCTGAATAGCTGGGACTACAGGCACGTGTCACCATGCCCAGCTAATTTTTTAATTTTTGTAGAGATGGAGTTTTGCCATATGCTCCAGGCTGGTCTTGAACTCCTGGGCTCAAGCGATCCTCCTGCCTCGGCCTCCCGGTGCCAGGATCACAGGTGTGAGCCACTGCACCCGGGCCTGATGTTCATTCTTGATTGCAGGGAGCCACACTGTGACCTGGAGACCAGTGGGACGGTGACTGTGGGCCCTATGCACACGCTGCCCAGCACCTGTCTCCAGAAGGTGGAGGAACAGCCAGAGGATGCAGACAATCAGCGGAATGTCACTCGCATGGGCAGTCAGCCCCCAGACCCGAGCACTGTTGTACACATCCCGGTGATGCTGACAGGCCCTCCTGGGGAAGCCACGGTCGTTCCCAGTGAGTATCTCCCTGTGCCAGTAGGGCAGGGCCCATCTTGTGCAGGTCCAGCAACCCCCATTCCCTCCTGTTCCACAGCAGCCACTGGGGACCCAGCCTGCCTCTGTGAATTGTTCTCCTGGCTGGAGAGGGAGTCCTTTGCTGTCAACATCTGTCCTTTGATGTCCTGTTGATTTCTAAGTGCCCCAGAGATAACTGAGGTTGAGCTCCATTCTCCTTCCTTCCCAAAATATTTGCACATTGCCAACTAAGTGCCAAGTGCTATGTTAGAGTGCTGAGAGCACAGCAGCAGGGAGACAGTCTTGTCAGGAAGACAGACCACAACTCTTGATGGTTGCACAAAAGCTGCTGAGGACTCTGTCCACGGCCTTGACTGGGGCTGAGAGCGAGGGGCTGCAGAGGAGGAGGCTCTCCACCGCGTCTGCCCTTGTGGTCATGGGCCCATGCCATCCATGCTCTGAGGCTGCTCCCAGGCCTTTATCTTAGCTGCCTTCTTTCTTCCCCTTGCTTGCTCACATGCTCGGGACATCCCAAGTGAGCACCCTTCCCATGCCTGCCTGTGTGCAGTCCCTGAGGGCGCAGGGGACCAAGATATCATTCCTGTCTTCAAGCCTGTCTAATAGGGAGAGATGACAAATACAGGCCCCTTACATGATGGGGAAGGTGCACGGGCATTTCATGGGCATCAAGGAGGAGCCCTCCTTTCTTAAGTACAGAGAAAAAAGGGGTAGAAGAGAGGCCATAGAAACAGGACTCACATGAATGCCAACAGAAACATTTAGGTCATAAGCAGACCAGACAGACTCAATCAGGTGCCACCACATGCATGCCCATGTTTGCAGATGCATCTCCACACAGAGATGTGTGCGTGCCCGTGTTTGCAGATGCATCTCCACACAGAGATGTGTGCGTGCCCGTGTTGCAGATGCAT